AAGTATTTAGTCTAAATAAGCTCAAAGTTTCACGGTGTTCAGAACTAGCTCAAGAGATTAGCAATAGTCTACTTTGACCGATACGCTACCATTAATCGACTCTAAGTGCTGTCAATCAAGCTCAATCATGCTATACATGCATCCAAACTCATCGTCATCAACAATTTAAGCTCAATAAAAGCATGCTAACACATTGTCAAAATGGACAAAGATCCTCATTTAAGCACAGAATTTGCAAAAAGCAAAAATTTTGACCCCTAAAACCATTTATATACCCATTTCATGCAAATAACCCCCACCCCCACACTTAATTCATACATTGTCCTCAAGGTATGCAATAAGTAGAGGACACTCTAAGTAATGAAGGAAAAAGAGCAGAAAACTCCCMTGATTTGGTGAGTGACCTCCCAATGTAAGAATMCGTGGATATGGGTGTGTCTCTTTAAGCGTCCAATATCCGGGGCAAACCTTAGAACATAGAAATCCAAGAGTGAAATTGAGAATCTAAAAGCAAACTAAATAACTGAAAGCAATAAATAAAGAGAAATGGAAATTCGTGGGTTGCCTCCCACGCAGCGCCTTTCTTTTATGTCTTTGGCTAGACCATACTCAGTTCAATTCTTGTAGCTTGGCGTGTCCAAAGCTACCCTCTCTAAATCCCCTCCATCAAAGCCTTCATAGAACGGCTTTAGCCTATGGCCGTTAACTTTGAAAATCTGCCCCGTAGATAGACTTTATATCTCTACTGCACCATGCTCAAAAACGGTTAAAACAACAAAAGGTCCTATCCATTTGGACCTTAACTTACCGGGAAATAAMTTTAATCTAGAATGATATAGGAGAACTTTCTGACCTTTAGTGAAAGACTTACGTGAAATACGAGAGTCATGGAACGCCTTGGTCTTCGCCTTATAGATGCGAGCATTTTCGTAGGCATCGTTCCGTATCTCCTCTAACTCTTGAATTTGAAGCTTCCTATGTGATCCCGCTTCATCCAAATCCATATTGCACGTCTTCACCGCCCAATA